TTTTGAATAATTTTTTACAGATCCATGTTCCGAATCCACGAAATGTTCTTCCTCGAATTTTCTGAGGGCGACATTGACTATGGATTGAATATGAGAAGCGCGTTTGAGGCAGGACTCAAGGGCAGTGCAAAAATCTAGGGTTTGGAGACTATTTTCGAAATAATCATCAGCAAGATCGGATAATTCTTTATTTTTCCAAATATCCCTTTTGTTTTGGAGTATGATTTTGACTACTCCTTGGTTCATTTCAAGGAGACATTCAGTTACATCCCGGAGGGAGTCAAGGGATACGCTTTGCACATCGAGGCTTCCAGCAATAGAGTTGATGGCTCGGCTCGTCCGAGCTTGGAGGTTCGAATCGAAGTTCCTAAGATCCGGATCGGCTCTGCAGGCGGCTTCATAGGAGCTCAGATTGGCGTCATCTGGGTTAACTGAGCTAGAAGTGGTTCGACCAGGCGGCGGCGACGCCGTAGAGTGATGGCTGCTTTTACTAATTTCACAGCCCATTAGTCGATGATTCAGAAATTCTTGGCTAAAGTAAATTTCATCTGTGTACCTGCTTTGAATTTGTAGGAGAGAATATATGGGTGTTTTACAAAGTGCTACTTCCAAGAAGTTTCTGCCTGTGGACTTTGAAAAGAACAAGACCACTATTCACTCGACTTACATATCCAAAGCCAAATGAAATAATACAAAACAGAAAAGTAAAGTTACGTAGGTCACTGAACTTCGAGGTTTATTTCATATTGGTTGCTCAACTTTAATTTATTGACGTTATTTAGCTCTTGTTTGGTTCCAATTTTTTAACATTCATTTTTCCTTTCAATCATACAATTTGTAAATTCACTACTTCGATCAATTTTTTAACAATAGATTTCATCAAACGTTATCAAATTCTACTAAAATTTTAATTTTTAACCAAACCGAACAAGGACTTAGTTATAATTACCAATCATTTGAATGAGTCATTTCTCTTGTAGAGATTTTGGAGGCGACGATGAGGCGATGTATATCTCTAGAAGACAAGTGAGCAGAAAAATGAAGTACCATTTTTAATTTTCACGTTTTTGATTTTTTATTTCTTTAATTTAATTATTTGTAAGAATTTTAAACTTAAGAGCGTGTCTGGTGTCAAATCTTTGGCAGATTCTAATGGAAATTTCAACTGTTGGGAGAAAAAGCGATCGCAACATTTGATTGTGTGTGAGAGGTGTGGGCCCAGCATTTGAAAAAAAGGGTCATATTTATGCTGAAAATCAGATGAATATCACCAACAGATACAACCTTACTTTTATTTCATTAAATCCGTCATTTATATTTATTAGTTAACTAAATGTCATCCATTATTTCTGTTATGAATATTGGCAATATTCGTGACTCAATGGACATAACTCACGACTAGCTAGTGAAGTATGAATTTCTTTAGTTTTGTTAATAATTGCACGTGGTTAAAATAAATCGAATTTACGTGACTAACATGAAACTAATCTGTAGGTTGAATGACCTCTAGACAATTTTTTCCCTGTAAGAATTATCGTTTAGATTTTTAATAAATGAATTAACTATGAGCTAAAACTACAGTCAACGGGGAAAGTGGGAAACCTTTCTTTTTGAGTATTGACCAAGTCTCTTTAGATATTTTGATTATGCCCCTGTTTGTCTACCATTTTTCAAAACATTATTTTCTACAGTAATCAATCTCTACCACACATTCAAATAATAAAATATTATACACATAAATCGATAAAGTCTCTTTCAATTTTAACCACACATTCTCCAAAAAATACTATTCATTACACCATGTTCATCACAATAATAGTAGACAAACAGGCACTATAAACCACAAATTTGTGGATATGAGTAAATTAATGCGACCTTTCTCTAATTGGTTGTGAACTTTCAAACAAATTTACCGTGTTCGTGTTCTTCTTTTTCTTCATGTGAAAATAAAAGATATACAATTTTCCCTCGAAAGGAGGTATAAATTCAGATCATTCATCCGACAAAACTTCGTTCTTACTACTATATAATTAGGCATTGATCTTACGTTCTGTGTACATATACATATGTGAACGTGTAACAATATTTAACTAGTTTAAAATTAGAATTTAATAATTTACATTAAATTCATGCTTGAGCTAAAAAAATTAGAAATTCTTTTTAAGAACTTTTGGTTAAATGGTAGGAAAAAATATGAACTAACGTGTAAAATAATTTATTAGAGAATGCGTGATTGAAAAAAAGTAAAAAATTGAATTTTTAAAAAATTTCTACTAAATTGGGGCTAAATATGACATAAATTATTAAAATAGATAATTTTTAACCAGTAATATACCTTTGAGGGCAAAATGTAGAACTCATATTGTCGTTTGTTAATAAATTTTGTTTTAGTAACAATAGTAAACAACCTGTCGTTGTAGTATAGTGGTAAGTATTCCCGCCTGTCACGCGGGTGACCCGGGTTCGATCCCCGGCAACGGCGAAGTTTTTCAATTTTGGAAGCTCCATTTTTCGCCCAATCAAAGAATCCGAATTTGAATACGCCCAAACGCAGCCCACAGAGCCTGGCCTATTATTTTCCAATAAATTATTTTTCTGTCACTTAGCATTTTTGCATCAACTCCAAAACATCTTTTAACAAATCAAATTTCATCTAATTTCCCATATTTTCAACTCATCGTATTGGGTGGTTAAGATATGAACCTAACAAAATAACATTTTTCATATTATGTGTAAATTTATGTTTTCATTAAATATTTGAAAAATCTGCGGAATTTTGTTTACGAATACTCAGTAAAGCTTTAGCCAATTTAATTAGAATCTTATTTCTGATGGATTCCATATTTCCTTTGGAATTGTGATGTAGGACAATCCTATTGTAAATATGATTATAATTATATATTTGTAATAAGATATTTAATTGTAATAAGTTTTATCTTTAGTTCTAATATTTATTTATAATGTGATTTCCTTTTTTTATGGATTAGAATATGATTTCTAATTTTTTTTAGATTATGATTTTAGGTTATTTCCTTTTAAAATTAAATTTCCTTATATTAATAGGATTATGGATAAGTTTTGCCTATAAATAAAAAGACATTGTACATTTTTCAATAACAATCAATTATAATTCAATATATACAAGATATGATTATTCAAATATTATTCTTATTTATTACATAATTCTTATTATAAGAATTTCTAAAACGTTTCCGTATAAAAATTGGTATCAGAGTAAGGAAATTGCCTTAATCCGATGGCCAACGAAGGTATTGGTGGCAGTCGAATCACCGAGGACGAGTCTCGACCAAGTTCGAAAACACACAAATTATCAAAGATTATTTTCTTCAACAAAACTCGATGATAAGTTTTTTCAAGTTGGAGAGATTGATGTAGAACAATCCTCTTGTAAATAGGATTATGATTATATATTTATAATAAGATATTTAGTTGTAATAAGTTTTATTTTTAGTTATAATATTTGTTTAGAATATGATTTCTAATTTCTTTTAGATTATGATTTTAGTGTATTTTCTTTTAGAATTTAGTTTCCTTATATCAATGGGATTAGGGAATAGTTCTGTCAATAAATATAAAGGCATTGTACATTTTTTCAACAACAATCAATTATTATTCAATATATACAAAATATGATTGTTTAAATATTATTCTTATTTATTACATACTTCTTATTATAAGAATTTCTAAAACGCTTCCGGTAATTAGGAAGAACTTAGAATTAGATTAGTTTTCAGTCAAATAAAAAATGTTAACAACATTATATAATGGCATTGTTGATTTGTCACATATTTACACTTTTTATATACCATATAGATAATCACTAACGCCATCATAATTTGGTGAAAAAAACCATTGTCTAACTCTACGACAAGATGAGGGTGGATTTCTGGATTATCACTCTCACATCGCGCTAACAATTTTTTGCATTGAAATAAAAATTCAACCGCGAGGAAACTTAACCTTAGGGCAACATACAAGGTCAAATTGTGCATAGTAAGATTGCAATTTGAAACTTACATGTGGGGGTGAATCGTATGAATGCACATACAAAGGGCTTGTTTGAGCCTTTTTTTTTTCCCTAAGAATAAATTTTATAGTAGTGATGTTTTGGAGAATGTATGGATAAAAAGTAAAGAAAAATTTGGATTTATGTGTAAAATAATTTTATTGAACAAATATGTGATTAAAATGAATTTGAGAAAAAAAAGATTTTGAAGAATGAATCGGAACTGAGAAAGTTTGATGAATAAATGGTAGTAAATAAAGAGTAATGTTATTAGTACAGAAAATTACCCACAGAAAATGGACAGAATACACACAATAGGTGGGTCCCCATTTTTTTAGCAATATTTAATTCAATGTGGGCCCGACATTCCACGTGAGTGGAATTCAAAATTCTGTAGAAAATCTGTACTTTTTTCCTATACTTGTAGCCTTTTTCGTAAATAAAAGGTGTTCGGCCGATTTGATGATATTTGTGTCAATGAATATGCTACTTGTACATAGCCCATGTTTGATACTAATTAATTTCTCATTCTCATTTTCATTATTTATTTCAACTACACATTTTTCAAATAAAATAATATTATACACAAATCAAAAAAATTTCATCATTTTTCCACCACACATTCTCACATCAATCACTATTCCAAAAATTTCATTCTCTTCAAAAATATATTCAAACAAGGGCATAATACGATATTTATAACGGTGTCCACATCCTCACATGAAGAGGGATCCACTTCGAATATATTATATTTTATTCGAAGTGAGTCCCTCTCCATGTCGAGAGTGGACTCAGTGGACACCGTATTATATACACGTAACATTATCTGTGTGTAATTTCGTTTCTGAACGGGGTCATAGAACGACGTCGCGTTATATTTGCCCATTCACTTTTCTTGGTTAAAAGGATTTTGGATCCTCTTAAAGCACATCAATCATTCACACTCTCACACAGGCATCTCAGAGAGAGAAGAATGGAATCGCCGAAGACAATTCCACACGAAATTGGAGGACTGAGAAACGATCCACTCCGAAATGGACTTCATGGCGTCAAGAGTGATATTATAGGATCTCACCCTCTTCAATCTTCCTACCAATCTGTAAAATTTTTTTGCATTTGATTTACTCTATTGATTTTTTTATTGATTATGAAGTCATAATTTTTTGTTTGAATGATTAGGCGAAAGTGAGGCAAGAGGATATGAAGAAGAAAATCTTAGCGAATACCTACGGGGCGGCTTTTCCGTTGAAGATGGAGCTCGACTGTCAAATTATTTCCAAGTTTGTGTTTCCTTAGCTCTTTTTTTTTGGTAGTTTTGGATCGTTTTTATTGTATTTATTGTGATCTTTTCTAAATGCTGGTGTATTGAACTGAAAGTTAGGGTTTAAGATGAGATTTCAAGGTTTCTTTTGGACGTTTTATTTTTGTTTTCATGTTTCTGGGAACTTTAAGAGTGTGTTTGATTGCGAGCTTGAAATTTGCATGGAAAGAAAATAAATTCCAGCCAATACAATTGTTTGGAACTCATTTGTATGGAAATTATTAACTAAATGTGTTTGAAAGAAAATAAATTCCAGCCAATTCAATTGTTTGGAACTTATTTGTATGGAAATTATTAACTAAATGTGTTTGATCGATTTAGTTTTCAACCTAGAAAAAAATATTATACTTGTCCATTTTTATTGGTGGCTAGACGAGAGTGATGGGATAGATGAGAGAGAGTAAATTACTTGAAAAATAAAACCTTCTCTCCCTAAATAAAATATGTTCACATAACCAAAAGTTGGAAAATATTTTTCATGGAAAAAATTGTCAAATCAAACCTCACAAAAGTAGGAAATTAAGTGGAAAAGAATACATTTTCCATGAAAAATATTGACAATCTAACGCAGCCTAACTAAAAGTTTGAAGGTTGATTTGGTTAGTTAGTTTGGTTTCTAACAAAAGAATTCTAAGTAATTTGGGTATCTGGATGCTGAAATCAATGGCGTTTGATGTCACTGGTTGAAAAAATTGTTTTAGTGCACATTCAATCATCAATGCTAACTGAATGCGTGTTTAATATTGAAGTGGAAGAATGTACTAGAGCTAAAATGCTACCCTTTGTTCCACAGCATCAAATTGAAAGAATAAGATTGGAATCAGAAATTATTCTGTCTAGAAAGATTTTATGTTAATGTTTATTCGTTGTAAAAATTGTTTGACTTCATCTGTTCAATGTGAATGGCAATTGAATGGAAGTTGGAATTAAAGAATTCTCTAGAGCTCAATGCTGCCTATTTAGCACCAGTATCTAGAAACCTCAGAATTGGAATTAGAAGTCTGTTCATTGTTTTGTTTAAATTGATTCTTCACGTATTTCCCTTTTGGCACTCCAATTCTATGTTACTAACCTTAATTATTTTCAGTTGTCACTGTGTATATACTGAATCTAGTTCATTAACTTTCTTGAATTCTAATTGAGCCTCAGATGTCATATGTGGTCTCAGAAATACTTGAATGAGTTTATTTTGTTATAATAATATTAGTGGAAAGTTGTTTTCTGCATCTGTAACATTTTGTATATACCTGAATTGAGGAAACTTCTATGTAAGATTAGCTTTTTGTGGTCTGGTTCTGGTCCGCTTTTCAGTTGTTGAATCCCAGGGTTCTTCCAACAAGTGAGCTATTATTATCAATACAATTAAATGGTATTGGATTGTGAAATGCGGGAAGTAGTGGATACCTTTTTTCTGACCTTTCCATTTTTCTCTTCCTTTCACCTTATAATTGATTATATAGCCTTTTCTTAAACAAGAAACTGAAGTTATGAAATTTTTATTCATATTTAGTATCTAGAAAGAAGGATGCTTGAGAAAATGGATATTGCTTTTGTAAGTATGCCTCAGTTCCAAATATCTTCTGGTTCTCACTTTTGTACTACAATAGTTTGCTCTTGTTTACAATGCTACTGCAAAATGCTTGTCCTTGAGTTATAGAAACAACGCTATTTGACTTTTTCAGTCATACACATGTTTTTCAGAGCTATCTTTCACTTTTTTTTTTTATTCCAATAACATTCTAAATAGTAGTATTCAATTTGCATTTTAGTATTATATATAATTGACCTTAAATATGTAAGTAAATCCCTCCAAATAGTAAGTTGATCGACTAAAGAAAGTGAAGTTTTTGTTGGCCTTTCCCTTTTACTTGGGGAGAAAGAATCTTGTGTGTGAGTTGGGGAAGGGGGCTGCATTATGGCCATCTTTTTACTTTTGGAATTGCAGTCAAAAGGTTTGTACTAAATTAAACATATAAAACTTATTAGTTATTACACGAAAATTAAATATCTAGAACGAAGAATAATTTTTAATAATGGACATTTCTTTTTGTAAGTAGGCTTGTCTGTTCTGAGCAATCAGAATGTTAGTTTCTTAAGTTTTGATAATCTTGACAGAAGCTGCTAGTGATGCTTCACGAAAGTGCAGATGTTGTGTGTGTACAATGCTACTGCGGCACGGAAAATTAATTACTGAATGAATTCTTGTTTAATGCTAATTTGCTGAAGTTTCTAAGTTTAGGACATTTTATTGACCCTATTGAAGATTATTTTCAGATTACCGATGTTAACTTATCTTGGAGAGGAATAGTGCATTTATATCATAATTTATGTTGATGAATATGATTATTAGTTTATTTGGGAGGAATTTTCGGGGGAAGAATTAATTTTTGAATAGTGACATGATGAGAAATGTGTGGTTAAAAAAGAAGAAAAAATTATTAATGTTATGGAAAATATTATTTTATTGAAGAATGTGTGGTTGAAAATGAGAATTGATTTACTGTAGAATTTGAGAATCTCTCCCAAACACCCCCTATATTAATGCCTGTGTTGCTCGGACTCGGTGTTTTGGCCGCCATACCCGTGTCGACACGACACGACACGGGTACCGGTACGAAATACGGGTCGGAGACGGCAAAATGCAACTGGACACGGCCAGGGAAGAAGAAGTAGAGCAACAAGAAGAAGAAGAAGAAGAAGAGTGTGGAAGAAGAAGAAGAAGAGCCACAAGAAAGAAGAAGAAGAAGAGCCAGCTGCGGTGGAACTTTGCCAGAGACGTAGGGTAGAAGGAGGGTGTTGGACTGGGCCTTTTTTTGGTTTCAAGTTTTGGGCCTGACTTTAAAAGTTTAAACATTGTTTTTTTTTTTTTTTTTGGTGTTTAAAAGAAGTTTAGTCATTGTGGTTAAAATATATTTATTGAGTTTATTTATCTTTTTCTTTGAATTTTACATCTTTATTAGTTGAGCAAATTACACGATATTTATTATTTCTTAATTATGCTTTTGGATCTTTTAATTTAGATAAGATCGTTTTAGTTTTAAGAAATATCATGATCAATATTGTTACAAAATTTTAAAATAATTTAAAATATAATTTTTCTTTAGCCAAAATGATTGACGGGTAATTATAAAATCAACATAAATAAATTTTTATAACAATTTAATAGCATTTTTTGAAATTAATATTTTTTCAAAACTTGACAAAATGGAAATAATCAAATAATATTTTTGATTAATTTTACATATGATTTTTTTGGGAAAAAAAAATAATTGAAGTTTCAAAGACGTATCCACGTACCCGTGTCCGAAATTTGGACTCTTTTTAGCCATGTCCCCGTATCCTCCATTTTAAAAAATAAAAGATCCGACACTTAAATACGTACCCGTACCCGATACTCGTACCCGAGTCCGAGCAACATAGATTAATGCTCTACTATTATTTGAGATTTTATTATGCTAATATATTTCCATTATTTTGAAATTGAAAGTGAAAATTACAGGGCTGATCTGAGGTTATCTTAAGTGATTTTTTGGGGCTTTTCTGATGTTAAGGGAGTCATTGACCCAAGACAACTTTGTTTTGAAATGCTCTCCTGCAGCAGGCTTTGGAATATGAAGCTTAAGGATGGATATTTGGAGCTCATATGTCCGAATAACTTAGATAAGTATCTAGCTAAAATGGTATAAATTTGACTATACAAGTATTCTATTGATAAAGGGCTTGGGTCTCAAGGAGGGGAAAGAAGAATAATGAGCTCTCTTTGGACTGATTAATAGTATTGGAGTACAGTAGCTTTTAGGAGTAAAAGGTATATAGAGTGAGGTTTTGGTGGGGCAGAAAATATCATAACCTTCTCAAGTACTGTACCAAAGATGTCATCCATTCATATATTCTAATAATAATCAATTCTATCATAATAAGTAGATCAGCTCAATATTATTGATGTATAAGACTCCTTTTCTAAGATTCAAGACTTCCCGAGCACAAACATAACCTATTCAGTACTGTAATTGATAAACTTGCCAAATTATGCTTGACTGATAAATTTAGTGATGTAAACCTAATGGTTGTATTAAGCTAAACATTACCTAGTGAAGCGTAACTGTGATTCAAGTGTCATCATGGTGACTTTCTCTGGGAAGAAAGCTCTTTGTAGTTGATGCCGGACACCTCGGTTTCTAAGTTCTAACCTCTGATCTAACAAGATGATATCTTTAGCATAAGTTGTTCTTTGTATCTTAAAGATCGTTGTGTTTTACTCATTTCAGATTATAGGCTCGATGTCTTTTTGCATCCAATGCAGAATTTGAATCTGTGTTTCAGTCATTTCTTGGTCCATTGCTGTCTTGTGATGAAGACTATACCTTCTTGAATTCCTATTTTCTGTAACTTAAATGCTAAGCTTTATTCCTTGTGGTTATTGTAAATTTTATGTGGTTCTTTGTGGAAACTATGCAATATTTTCACACACATCATTAACTAGTAGTATATAGATAAAAAGGTGTTCTGGTTCTTAAATGATCTCTGCAAGATTTTAGGAATCGAGTCTCTGTAATGTTCATTTTTAATCTTTGAAATTCTGTAGATTTCAAAGGCCTCCTGGAGCTATACCATCTTCCTTTTTGGGATTGGAAGCCATGAATGGAACTCTGGAAGATTTTGGCTTCCAAGACTACCTCAATGGTAACAAAATACTAATGAACTGCAGATCTCTTCCGTGTTAAATATGTTCATATTATCCTATGTTATTTGTTTTCGTCATTCTAAATTATTTGTTATAATTATTCAAGTTAGATGGCTTTGCACATGGAAATAACGAATATCTGTTGTGTTAGTATCATGTATATTTGAGAAATGAAACGAAAACAAGTCAAATATGATCGTACTTTAGCTTTACAGTCTCACTTAACAAATTCTCTTCTCAGGTTTCCCTCCATTATTTATGTCTTTGAGTTTTAATTACTAGTCTCTAGAATGGCAAGCATTTATGCGTTCAGGTGTATATGCTGAACTGTGTTAACTCAAAACTGTGTAAAAGTTACATGTAATGTAACTGTTTGTTGAGGTTGTTCGCCTGTTACGGTTTCATGCTTTGGTGACTTTTGCGTGTTGATTTGCATCTTTCAGATCCAAGGGAGTTGGAATCATTCCGTCCAGTTGACATGCATCATGGCATGGAAGTGCGTTTAGGGATGTCTAAGGGACCGGCCTGCCCCAGTTTTATTTGAAGCACTGATAAATCTTCTAAGAACGAACTTTTGAGTTCGGTATTGTGCGCCACTGAAATTAGGCTTGTGTTTTTATAACTATTACGGGTGTGAATGGTATTTTTAATTATTTGACAGCGGGAAATGCCACCTTTTTTTCTATTATTTCTTTTCTTTTCATTTTATATTTATTTATATTTCTGGGAAATTTATTTTTTCACGCCACCTTAACAATTTTTTTTAACTTAGCAAGGACCATCTCTGCCAATTAATGACGGTCGAGGTGTTCAGTGACGAGTAAAAAGGGGACCATTTCCTCAACGAAGATAGGTTGGATGACTCAGCAAGCTCAAAGGTACAAGCTATTGTCCTTGAAGAGCATCCTCTTCAAGAATCCAACCACGGCAGAGAATGGAAAATGACAAGGTTATTTACTTTCCAAGCCATGAAATCACGGCAATAAAAGTGGATTGACCGAGTTAGAAATTAACTTAAACCAAACATGCTGCATGTACATTATATTTTACATGAACTATGAATTTTGACATCCTTCCCCATGACATCTATTATAGCATTTGATTTCCCAACACCCCTTCGTATCACTAGGTTAGATTTTAACACGAGAGAGAATGTCATCTTTAATATAAATAACTGTACATTTTGAATAATTCTTAACTTAAAAGGCTCGTAGGCCCCATTTGATTTACCTTGAAATGGACCTATGAGGTGAGATAGTCTTCCAAGAAATATGATGGATGGGCCTTGGTCTAGAAACCCTTGGCTCTATTTGTACCTTGTATTAAAAAACAAAAACATTTTTTTGTTTTGTGGAATTAACCTATCTTTGGGAAAGAAATTACGTTCGAATAAGCTTTAATATGTCATGATTATAGGAGTCTATCCATCATGTATAGGCAGCATTAGATCTCTCTTCAACAAGCTTAAACCTCGTTGATACCTTAATAAAGTATAATAAAAATGGTAGACACAGTTGTATCTTAATCCCTTCGGTTAATCTGCTCATTCAAAAATTGACTAAAGAAATTATCGCAAAATGCATGGATAGAGCAAAAGATCAACACTACCCAACCCAAATGGAGAGGAGAACATTTGCTTACGAACTGGGAGAAAGCATTACCTTAGAGGAGGTCCCTGCGCTAAATGTTACATTTTTTTTCTTTAATTCTTTTTACTCCTTTATCTCACGCGACATTTTAGGCATTGCACCTTTTTTGTTTGAAAATATTCAAGTAGAATTTATTAAACAAAAGTTACAATAGAAAGAGCAAGTTTCTTAATTTTTGCAAAAATAAAAAATAAAAAAATATTTTGTACATAAATCATAAGTAGCTAGCAATTAATATCATTTGCTCTTCCAAACTCACCATTTGGTTCTCTGGTGATTATGCCTAAAAACCCTCACATGAAGGTGGATGGTCTTTATCAAAAAATAAATAAAACACAAAAATGTAATTTTCTCTTGGAGTAACCAGCACAAAACATCCCAAGCCTTTATTCTCATTACGTAAATTGTCTCTATCATTTCTCTTTTAATATTTGACCATCGGATTATCATTTTGTCACGTAAAAATATCCTTGTCACGTGATTCCGTCCATTTGGATCGTCAAATGAATGAATTCAACGTTTTTAACCAAAGATTCATCATTTGACCCCTATTGGAATCCTGAATCCTATTGGGACACTGACGTTATCGAAATTGGATAAGCTTGATGTCTTGGAAGTAGAGTCCTACTAGGTTAAGTATCAGGGTTCTTTTAAAATTGGCCCGGTCAAAGGGGCCAAATTCAACTTTGACTTTTCCACTATTGAATATTACAAAATTGGCCTAATGTTGTTCAAAAGACAAAAATGCCCTTAAGTGAATAAAACAATCACAAAATATAGTTTTATTAAAAAGACAATACTACCCTTTTACTTAACAAATAAAAACCAAACACCCCCTCATAAAATTACAAATTCAGTTCAAACACAAATAAAAACTCTCATCTTCTTCACTCTGAAAATTTCAAAAATATCGATAGTAGAAGGAAAAAATTATTTTTTGTCAATTACTACGAATCGGTAAGTATATTTTCGTATGTTTAATTTCGTTATACTGAAATGTGTATGCTTTTTACTCGATAAATTAAGATTCGACATAGGTAA